AGAACCTAGGTGGCTCCTTATTTAACTCAGAATAAAAGCTGAAGTCCTTTGTGATCTGACTTACAAGGTCTGTGTCATGTGGCAGCTTGTTACCTCTCTGACCTCATCTACTATTCTTATCCCTACTCCCCACCTCCGCTTTACTGTACCAGTCCCCTTGCTGTACGTTTTGTGTGCCATGCACACTTCTACCTTGTACCTTTGTCTTCGTTTTTCTGTTTGAGAAATAACTGCATGGGTAGGTTTCGTTTCTATTTATATATTTATTTTATTTATTTATTTGAGAGAGAGAATGAGAGACAGAGAGCACGAGAAGGAAGAGGGTGCAGAGGGGGAAGCTGACTCCCCGCTGAGCAGGGAGCCCAATGCGGGACTCGATCCTGGGACTCCAGGATCATGACCTGAGCCGAAGGCAGTCGCTTAACTGACTGAGCCACCCAGGCACCCATAGGTTTCTTAATTCTTTGCTCAGATGTTATCTTCTCATTGAGGTCAGTAGTAGTTATCCTCTTTAAAATTGCACCCTGTCTTCTCTCAGTTCCTTCCATGTGTCCTACCCCTCTCTCCCCCGCCCCCTGCCACACTGCTGCCTTTTAACATATATTATTTCCTTATTACTTTTATTATCAGTTGTTTTTTCTGCCACTGGCTAACACGCTATGCCAGGGAGGAATTTTGGTTTTTTATTTACTGATGTATCCAGACAAAAGGAATAGTACAATTGGTGCTCAACAAACATTTGTTGAACAAGGGAATGAATCTGAGTTTGTAATTCCTGGTCTGCAGTTTGTGCTTTTCTTATTTATTTTATTAACAAATTTACTAGACAATACTTTATTAGAAGTAGGTTTATTTATTGTATATTAATTAGTAAATACATTTATAGTGTTTATATGCAAAATGCTGTTTTAAGCCCTTTATGCCTAATCCTGGTAACAACGCTGTGAAATAGAAACTATTATTATCCATTTTTTAGGGACAAGTAAACTGAAGCCCAAAGTGAGAGCTAGTAAGGGGGAGAACCAGGATTTGGATTTAAGCAATTATTTAGGTGCTTGAATTTGCTCTTAATTATGACACCGTGGTGCTCTGTGTTGCAGATCATTTTTCCCTATTTATAATTTTCTGTCTTGATTTTGTTTTTTGCCTTCCAAGATAATAGTTAATATTTATGTAGTAAAAATAATATAGTAATATTTTCCTTTGAGGCTTTTTTGTTTATTTTTTAGATTGACCTTCTTGATTCTAAGATTAAACCATAAATGTACTCATTTTTTCCCCTTAGTTTTGATTTGTAGTCAAAGCTTAAGATGATCAGATATGTATTTTATATCACTTTGATAGCATCATGGAGATTTTGTTTGAAGGGCATAAGACTAAAACCTGGAACAGCAGTCAGGAACCTAGTGCTAATTCCAGTAAAAAATAATTGAGAACAGGCCGTGGGGATGGACAGGAAGAGACTGATTTCAAGATATATCCAGAGGTAAAATATGCAGGTCTTTGTGACTGATTAGCTGTGACTCAAAGGAAGACTGCATTAGCTCACGAGTTCCTGGTTGTGAAAGTTTGGAAGAGAGGGAGTATGTTGTGGTGCCATTTATTGGTTGAATGGATGAATTGATAGAGATGTAAAACAGGAAGGAACGTAAACAGGTTTGGAAGATAAAGTGATATTCAGTTTTGGATATGTTGAATTCAGGATGCCTATTGAATATCTAATTTTCTTTCCTTTTTTTTTGGAGAGAGAGCAGTAGTGGGGGTGCGGGAGGGGCAGAGGGAGAGAGAGAATCCCAAGCAGATTCCTCGCTGAGTGTGGAACCCGATGTGGGGCTGTTTCAGGACCCTGAGATCGTGACCTGAGCCGAAATCAAGAATCAGACCCTTAACCGACTGAGCCACCCAGGTGTCCCTAATATCTCATTTTCAATACATTCATTAGGCAGTTAGATCAATGAATCTTAGCTTCATAAAAAAAAAATTGGGCTACTAAGTTTCAGGAAATGAGGTAGTTGGCAGGTAGAAACTATATGGGTCTTAGGAGCTACTTTCCTGCCTTGTTTTCTTCTTTTCTTTCTTTCCTGCCATTGAATGCAATATAACAGCTGGCAAAGAGCTTTAAAGTCTGAAAAGATTGTATGTGTGTGATGTGTGTGATATGAATGTGTTTATAGCTATATTCATCACTCAGAAAACTTAAGATATTTTACAGCTAGGAGGGACCATAGAGGTCACCTGACTCAGGTATATTACTTTATAATTTCTGAATATTCTACTTGCATAAAAAGTCAATTTGGGTACTTCTTTGATTTTTGAGGGACTTTGAAGGTAAAGTTGTGGCAAAAAGGCATTTTCTTGGCAGGAGGGGATATTTGAGATGAGGTAGACTTGGGATTGAATTCTGTCTGTGCCACTTTCTGGCTCTGTGATCTTGGATAATTTATCTTTCTTAGCCTCAGTTTTTTCATCTGTGGAAATAATTTTCTTTTAGCAAGATTGAGACTCCCTTTTAGTAGTTGTAGAGACTAGAGATAATGTGTAGAAATTTTCTGTCATTTATAATAGTCTACTAAATAAACTGAACCTCTTCTGATTGTTATTTTTAGCCTGTTTCTATCCGGTGTCATACTTTTGTTCTGAAATCAGTTACTGTAAAGATAAACATCTGGATTCTAAGCTATGGTTATTTGCCGATGTTTAATGATTCAAAAGGTTCCAATATATGCATAAAAATTAGTTTTTGTGTTCATGTCCAAAAAATGAGTCCTAGAGGTTTTTAACAACAGTTAACTGACTTAATATTCATAAAAGCTATGAGATAGGCAGTGCATTATCCGCATTTTAAAGATGAGGAAATTAGGGTACAGAAGGACTAAGTAACTTACCCAAAATTATAGCTAGTGAGTACAAAAGGATTTGAATCTAGGCAGTCAGAGCTGTTGTGCTATACTAAGTACTGGGGAGTAAAACTGCAGTGACAGTTTCACTTACTCTAGAGCAGTGATTCTTTGGTGATGTCTTCTCCATTCCCACCTTCTATCAGCTCTTCCCTAGGTTTGTGTCTGCCACATCACAATCCCCCCGCTCCAATCTTTGAGGAAATGCAAGATGTTTCTGAAAAAAGCAAAAACAAAAGCCACGTGGCTACCGGAAAAATTAAGATGTGCTGCCCTCTAGTATTTATCAGAACTAACCTTTTAATTAAGCCTCTGGTAATTCTAACAAGACTTTTACATTATTGCCCCATTTAATCCTAACAGCAACTTTGCAATAACTTGTATTGGTATTCTCATTTTACAGTGAGTAAAGAGACAATAAGCTGACCAAGTTTGCACAGCTAGAAAGTGGCAGAGCTAAGTCAAATTGAGGTGCTCTGGCTGAAAATTTCATACTTTTTAAAATACTGTGCTACAATGACTTGGTTTCCATTTATAATTAGAAAATTCTGTTGAAAGTCAAAATGGCTTGCCCAATGCATTTCCCATACTGTGGATTTTAATTTTTTTTAAAAGAGAATTTTTTTTAAAGATTTTATTTATTTATTTGTCAGAGAGAAAAAGAGAGAGAGAGAGTGTACAAGCAGAGGGAGTGGCAGGCAGAGGGAGAAGCAGGCTCCCTGCTGAGCAAGCAGTCTGACGCAGGACTCCATCCCTGGACCCTGGGATCATGACCTAAGCTGAAGGCAGAAGCTTAACCGACTGAGCCACCCAGGCATCCTGGATTTTAATTTTTTTAAAAAATTTTTATTTATTTGACAGAGAGCAAAAGCAGAAAGAGCAGCAGGCAGAGGGTGAGGGAATCCCAGAGCAGGGAGCCCAATGCGGGGCTCGATCCCAGGACCCTGGGATCATGACCTGAGCTGAAGGCAGGTGCTTAACTAACTGAGTCACCCAGGCACCACTGTGGATTTTAATTTTTGTATTTGTTCATGATAACACCAAATGAGAGAAAAATAAAATTAAGAAATAGAATAGATCACAGTATTAATCTTTAGGATCAACTCAATTTTTCTGACAACCTAAGGATTTGGTAATTAAGTTCATTTAAAAAAATTAAAAACACATTTTTATATACAATGGTCAACATAGATCTCAGGTTCTCCCTGGCTCTTGCTTACCCATTAATGTAATTTTCTTTCTTTTTTTTTTTTTTAAGATTTATTTATTTGAGAGAGAGTGAGACAGCATGAGCAGGAGGGGCAGAGGGAGAGAGAACCTCAAGCAGACTTTGCGCTCAGCATGGAGCCAGGCACGGGGCTTAATATCACAACCCTGAGATCACCACTGGAGCTCAAACTAGGAGTTGGATGCTTAACTGTGCCACCTATGTACACCTATGATGTAATTTTCTTAAGCTGCTGCTAATTGGAAATCACAGTAGTTCCTGTTTCTGCTCAGAGGAAGTGATTTTGATCCCTGCTTTCTCTAGTAGCTTCTTCTAGGAACAGGGGCTACTTACTTACTCCAAGCATCTGTTTACTTACTCCAAGCATCTGTTCACAATTTCTGATAACTGGTGGGGCTCTTAATGATTGCTGGCAACATGAGCCATATTGGCATTAGGCTACATTTATCTGAAAAGTGTGTAAGGCATAGTAAAATCCAGTTGGCCTATATGATAAAAATAATTTAAACCTTGTGCTCTGTAGATCAGCAGTGATCATATAATCATTGATGGCAGTATCTTTGTTACTTCTGCTTTTTTCTTTGCTAACTCCTTTTCACTTATTTGTGTTTTATATATTTTTTTGTTTTTTTTTCTCTTTTTTAATTTTGCCTCCCTTTCTTGTAGCTAAGGCTTTCTAAAGGTACTACTTAATTGATCAGTGACATTAAATGAAGTTCCCAGCATCCACTGTGGTGCAGAACTTTGTGGGCAGGACCACAGTGGTCACCAAATGTAGCAGCCACAACTGTTTTTGGTTTCTTGAAACACAAAGAAATCCTTCATAGATCTCAGGTGCTTCATGTCATAAACACTGTTTTTGAATTTTGTTTCAGGAACTGTAACCATGAATGAAGAAAACATAGATGGAACAAATGGATGCAGTAAAGTCAGAACTGGTACTCAGAATGAAGCAGCATTACTTGCTTTGATGGAAAAGACTGGTTACAACATGGTTCAAGAAAATGGGCAAAGGAAATTTGGTGGTCCTCCTCCAGGTATGGATTTATGTTAAAAAATACTGAATCTTTAATGTACAATACGTATATATATCCACAAATATCCCACACAATAATTCTTTCCTTGTAACTGCTTTAAGACCTTAGCAATCGTTTTTAGTGTTGTGAGGGAGAAGAGGTAGATTGTATGTGTTATGCATGTTTGACCCTTACATTTTTTTCAACTCTGCTCTTTGTTTAAGAAATAGTAAGGAAGTTGGTTTTTTTTGGTCAATTTTTTATTGAATTCTAGTTAGTTAACATAGTGTAATGTTGGTTTCAGGAGTAGAATTTAGTGATTCATCACTTACATATAATACCCAGTGCTCAGTGCAACAAGTGCCCTGCTTAATACCTATCACCTCTTTAACCCCCCGCCCCCCCGACCTACCTCTCTTCCAGCAACCCTCAGTTTATTCTCTATAATTAATAGTCTCTTATGGTTTGCTTCCCTCTCTTTTTTTTTCCCCTTCCCCTATGTTCATCTGTTTTGTTTCTTAAATTCCACATATGAGTGAAATCATATGGTATTTGTCTTTTTCTGACTGACTTATTTCACTTAGCGTAGTACATTCTAGGTCCATCCATGTTGTGGCAAATGGCAAGATTTCATTCTTTTTGATGGCTGAGTAATATTCCATGTATATGTATACCACCACATCTTCTTTATCCATTCATCAGTTGACGGACATTTGGGCTCGTTCCATAATTTGGCTATCATTGATAATGCTGCTATAAATATTGGGGTGTATGTGCCCCTTCAAATCAGTATTTTTGTATCCTTTGGGTAAATAATCTAGTAGGGCAATTCCTGGGTCATATGGTAGTCCTATTTTTAATTTTTTTAGAAACTTCCTGTTTCCCAGAGTGGCTGCACAAGTTTGCATTACCACCAACAGTGTAAGAGGGTTCCCCTTTCTTGGCATCCTCGCCAACATTTGTTCTTTCTTGTGTTGTTAATTTCAGCCATTCTGACAGGTGTGAAGTGGTATCTCATTGTAGTTTTTATTTGTATCTTCCTGATGATTAGTGATATTGAGCACCTTTTCATGTCTGTTGGCCATATGGATGTCTTCTTTGGAAAAATGTCTGTTCATGTCTTCTGCCCATTTCTTGACTGGATTATTTGTTTTTTGGGGGGTGCTGAGTTTGATAAGTTCTTTATAAATTTTGGATACTAACCCTTTATCAGATATGTCATTTAAATATCTTTTCCCATTCTGTAGGCTGACTTTTAGTTTTTTGATTGTTTCCTTCACTGTGCAGAAGTTTTTATCTTGATAAAATCTCAATAGTTCATTTTTGCTTTTGTTTTCCTTGCCTCTGGAGATGTGTCTAGTAAGAAGTTGCTACAGCTGGGATACTTGAATGGGTCAGTTGGTTAGGCATCTGACTCTTGATTTCAGCTCAGGTCATGATCAGGGTCATGAGATCGAGCCCCACACTGGGCTCCGTACTCAGTGTGGAGTCTGCGTGAGATTCTCCCTCTCCCTCTGCCCCTCCCTCTGCTTATGCTTGCATGTGTGCACTCTCTTTCTCTCTCTCTCCAAATAACTAACTAAATAAAATCTTAAAAAAAAAAGTTGCTATGGCTAAGGTCAAAGAGGTTGCTGCCGTGTTCACTTATAGGATTTTGGTGTTTTCCTGTCTCACACGTAGGTCTTTCATGCATTTTGAATTTATTTTTGTGTGTGGTAAAAGAAAAGGGTCCAGTTTCATTCTTCTGAATGTTGTTGTCCAGTTTTCCCAACACCATTTGCTGAAGAGACTGTCTTTTTATCCATTGGATATTCTTTCCTGCTTTGTCAAAGATTAGTTGACCATATAGTTGTGGGTCCATTTCTGGATTTTCTATTTTTTTAAAATTTTTTATTGTTATCTTGATCACCATACATTACATCATTAGTTTTTAATATAGTGTTCCATGATTCATTGTTTGTGCATAACACCCAGTGCTCCATGCAGAACATGCCCTCTTTAATACCCATCACCAGGCCAACCCATCCTCTCACCCCCCTCCCCTCCAGAACCCCTAGTTGGTTTTTCAGAGTCCATCGTCTCTCATGGTTCGTCTCCCCCTCCGATTTCCCCCCCTTCATTTTTCCCCTCCTGCTATCTTCTTCTTCTTTTTTTTTTTCTTAACATATATTGCATTATTTGTTTCAGAGGTACAGATTTATGATTCAACAGTCTTGCACAATTCACAGCGCTCACCATAGCACATACCGTCCCCAATGTCTATCACCCAGCCACCCCATCCCTCCCACGCCCTACCACTCCAGCAACCCTCAGGTTGTTTCCTGAGATTAAGAATTCCTCAATTCATTGAGGTCATATGATACATGTCTCTCACTGATTGACTTACTTTGCTCAGCATAACATACTCCATGTTCATCAAGGATATTGGTCTGTAGTTCTCCTTTTTGATGGGGTCTTTGGTTTAGGGATCAAGGTAATGGTGGCCTCATAAAACGAGTTTGGAAGTTTTCCTTCCATTTCTATTTTTTGGAACAGTTTCAGAAGAATAGGTATTAATTCTTCTTGAAATGGTTGGTAGAATTCCCCTGGGAAGCCACCTGGCCCTAGGCTTTTGTTTGTTGGGAGATTTTGATGACTGCTTCAATTTCCTTAGTTGTCCTAGGTCTGTTCAGGTTTTCTATTTCTTCCCGGTTCAGTTTTGATAGTTGATACATCTCTAGGAATGCATCTATTTCTTCCAGGTTATCTAATTTGCTGGCATATAGTTGCTCATATGTTCTTATAATTGTTTGTATTTCTTTGGTGTTGGTTGTGATCTCTCCTCTTTCATTCATGATTTTGTTGATTTGGGTCCTTTCTCTTTTCTTTTTGATAAGTCTGGGCAGGAGTTTATCAATCTTGTTAATTCTTTCAAGGAACAAGCTTCTAGTTTCGTTGATCTGTTCTACTGTTCTTTTGGTTTCTATTTCATTGATTTCTGCTCTGATCTTTATGATTTCTCTTCTCCTGCTGGGTTTAGGCATTATTTGCTGTTTTTTCTCTAGTTCCTATAGGTGTAGGGTTAGGTTGTATATTTGAGACCTTTCTTGTTTCTTGAGAAAGGCTTGTACTACTATATACTTTCCTCTTAGGACTGCCTTTGCTGCATCCCAAAAATTTTGAACAGTTGTGTTTTCATTTTCATTGGTTTCCATGAATTTTTTTTAATTCTTCTTTAATTTCCTGGTTGACCCCTTCATTCTTTAGTAGGATGCTCTTTAGCCTCCATGTATTTGAGTTCTTTCCGACTTTCCTGTAGGGATTGAGTTCTAGTTTCAAAGCATTGTGGTCTGAAAATATGCAGGGAATGATCCCAGTCTTTTGGTACCAGTGGAGACCTGATTTGTGACCTAGGATGTGATCTATTCTGGAGAATGTTCCATGGGCACTAGAGAAGAATGTGTATTCTGTTGCTTTGGGATGGAATGTTCTGAATATGTCTGTGAAGTCCATTTGGTCCAGTGTGTCATTTAAAGTCTTTATTTCCTTGTTGATCTTTTGCTTAGATGATCTGTCCATTTCAGTGAGGGGGGTGTTAAATTCCCCCACTATTGTATTGTTGTCAATGTGTTTCTTCGCTTTTGTTATTAATTGCCTTATATAACTGGCTGCTCCCATGTTCGGGGCATAGATATTTACAATTGTTAGATCTTCTTGTTGGATAGACCCTTTAAGTAGGATATAGTGTCCTTCCTCATCTCTTATTGCAGTCTTTGGTTTAAAATCTAATTTGTCTGGTATAAGATTGCCACCCCAGCTTTCTTTTGGTGTCCATTAGCATGGTAAATGGTTTTCCACCCCCTCACTTTCAGTCTGGGGGTGTCTTTGGGTCTAAAATGAGTCTCTTGCAGACAGCCTATCGATGGGTCTTGTTTTTTAATCTAATCTGATAGCCTGTGTCTTTTGATTGGGGCATTTAGCCCATTCACATTCAGGGTAACTATTGAAAGATATGAATTTAGTGCCATTATATTGCCTGTAAGGTGACTGTTACTGTATATTGTCTGTGTTCCTTTTTGGTCTGTGTTGCTTTTTGGTTCTTTCTTTGCTTAGAGGACCCCTTTCAATATTTCTTGTAGGGCTGGTTTCGTGTTTGCAAATTCCTTTAGTTTTTGTTTGTCCTGGAAGCTTTTTCTCTCTCCTTCTGTTTTCAGTGAGAGCCTAGCTGGATATAGTGTTCTTGGCTGCGTATTTTTCTCATTTAGTGCTCTGAATATATCATGCCAGTCCTCTCTGGCCTACCAGGTGTCTGTGGATAGGTCTGTTGCCAATCTACTGTTTCTACCATTGTAGGTTACAGATCTCTTTTTTTAAAGATTTTATTTATTTATTTGAGAGAGAGAATGAGATAGAGAGCATGAGAGGTGGGAGGGTCAGAGGGAGAAGCAGACTCCCTGCTGTGCAGGGAGTCCGATGTGGGACTTGATCCCGGGACTCCAGGATCATGACCTGATCCGAAGGCAGTCGTTTAACCAACTGAGCCACCTAGGCGCCTGGTTACAGGTCTCTTCTCCCGAGCTGCTTTCAGGATTTTCTCTTTGTCTCTGAGACTCGTAAGTTTTACTATTAGATGTCGGGTAGTTGACCTATTTTTATTGATTTTGAGGGGGGTTCTCTGTGCCTCCTGGATTTTGAAGACTGTTTCCATCCCCAAATTAGGGAAGTTCTCTGCCATCATTTGCTCCAATATACCTTTTGCCCCTCTCTTTCTTCTTCTTCTGGGATCCCAATTATTCTAATGTTGTTTCGTCTTATGGTATCGCTTATCTCTCGAATTCTGCCCTGGTGATCCAGTAGTTGTTTATCTCTCTTTTTCTCAGCTTCTTTATTTTCCATCATTTGGTCTTCTGTATCACTGATTCTCTTTTCTGCCTCATTTATCCTAGCAGTTAGCACCCCCATTTTTCATTGTACCCTATTAATAGCCTTTTTGATTTCGACTTGGTTAGATTTTAGTTCTTTTATTTCTCGAGAAAGGGTTTCTCTAATAACTTCTATGCTTTTTTCAAGCCCAGCTAGTGTCTTTAAAATCATGATTCTGAACTCTAGGTCTGACATCATACTAATGTCTGTATTAAGTAGGTCCCTGGCAGTCGGTACTACCTCTTGTTCTTTTTGTTGAGATGATTTTTTCCGTCTTTTCATTTTGTCCAGAGGAGAACAGAAGAATGAGAGAACAAAATGCTAACAGGGTAACAACGTCAGACCTGAAGCTGCGGGAAAAGAAAGGGAAAGAAAGAAAAAAGAAAAAGAAAAAAAGATTAAAACAAAAACAGAACAAAACAAAACAAAAAAATATGATCAGATATGATCAGGCTGGTGCATAGATCAGTGTCACACACTAGATTTTGGGTGTATTTTGGTCTGTTAGAGGAAAGTGCTTCCCAAAATTTTAAAGAAAGAAAAACTTATATATGTACAGAAATAAGGGTTGATACGATGAAGGGATGGAATATGACTGTAAAGATGAAAATTATAAAAAATTTTGTAAGAGGAATTGATAAGATAAGAAGTTGTTTGAAGAAAGAAGAGGATTTAAGAAAAAAAGGGAGAGAATGTGATCAGGCAGGAGATTAGAACAAAGGCATACACTAGAGATTTAGGGTATATTTTGATCTCTTAGAAGAAACTGTATCTCAAAATTTTAAAGGGAGAACAACTTACATATATATATGCCAAAAATAAGGGTAACTACTATGAAGGGGTAGAATATGACTCTAAAAATGAAAAATGAAAATGTTTTTTAAAAAAGGGATTGATAAGATGGTTGAAAAAGGGAAAAAGAAAAATTCAAAAAAAAAAGTTAAAAAAAATTAACTTTGACAGACTAAAGAATCATGGTTAAAAAGCCATGAATTCTATGTGCAGTATTCCCCTGGCTCTGGAGTTCTGCCTTTCTAATTGATCAGTAAACTTGGTCTTGGCTGGCTATTCTTGCTGATCTTCTGGGGGAGGGGCCTGTTGTCATGGTTCCCAAGTGTCTTTGCTGGAGGCGGAATTGCCCCGCCCTTGCCGGTCGGGGCTAAGTAATCTCGGGTTTGCTCTCGGGAGCTTTTGTTCCCTGCAAGCTTTCCGTATAGCTTTGGAGGATGAGAGTGAAAATGGCGACCTCCCAATCTCCGCCCCGGAGGGGCCGAGAAATCAGGGCCCCTCTCCTCAGTGCGCCCCCAGAGAAAAGCAGTCAGTCACTCCCGTCTCCCCGGTCTCTGGCCGCACTCCGTGCTCACCCGGCCTGTGACCGAGTGTTTCTATCTCTGGCACCCAACTCGGTGTGGAGTCTCCAAACCCAGCAGGTCCCTGTGGTGCTCCTCCCAGGGGAGGAAGTGGGGTCTCCCCGGATCTGCCGCTTGTTGAGTACCAGCTAGAAGAGCAGTGGCCTGACTGTGTCTGGATCACGGTTTATGGCAACCCTGAGCTGAGAGCCCGCGCCTCCGTTCCATGTCTGCGGCCAGCTTCCCTGCTCCGATACCTGGGAGCTCTGCCGCACTCAGTCACCCCTGGTCTTTCTGTCACCTTGAGAGTTCTGAGACCACACTGTCCTGAGAGTGTTCCACCCCCAGCTTAGCCACTGGAGTGATGTCCTTCGGCGGAGCGGACTTCTAAAAGTTCCGATTTTGTGCTCCGTGGCTCTATCACTTGCCAGAAGCGGCTGACAGAGGCCCCTCCCCCGTTCTCTAACCTCCTGAATATCTCCTCGGATTCACTTCTCTGCACGTCCTGCCTTCCAGAAAGTGGTCAATTTTCTGTTCAGAGAGTTGCTGCTATTCTTTTCTTCAATCTCCTATTGAGTTCGTAGGTGTTCAGAATGGTTTTATCCCTATCCAGCTGAGTTCTTGAGACCAGACGAAATCCAGGTCTCCTACTCCTCTGCCATCTTGCCTCTGGGTTTTCTATTCTGTTCCCTTGATCTATGTGTTTATTTTTGTGCCAGTACCGTACTGTCTTGATGATTATAGCTTTGTAATATAGCTTGATGTCCAGAATTGTGATGCCTTCAGCTTTTTCTTTTTCAAGATTGCTTTGGCTATTTGGGGTCTTTTGTGGTTGGTTCCATACAAATTTTAGGATTGTTATTCTAGCTCTGTGAAAAATGCTGGTGGATGGAATGCCTTAGTGGTTCAGTTGGTTAAGTGTCTGCCTTTGGCTCATGTTGTGATCCCAGAGTCCCAGGATGAAACCCCACGTTGGGCTCCCTGCTCAGTGGGGAGTCTGCTTCTGCCTCTGACCCTCCCCCTTCTCGTGCTCTCTCTCAAATAAATAAATAAAATCTTTTAAAAAAAGGAAAAATGCTGGTGGTATTTTGATATGGATTACATGAAATGTGTAGCTTGCTTCAGGTAGTATAGACATTTTAACGTTATTTGTTCTAACAATCCATGAGCATGGAATGTTTTTCCATTTCTTTGTGTCCTCTTCATTTTCTTGCATGAGCTTTCTATAGTTTTCAGAGTATAGATCTTTTACCTCTCTGGTTAGGTTTATTCCTAGGTATCCTATGGTTTTTGGTGCAGTTGTAAATGGGATAAATTCCTTGATTTCTTTTTCTGCTTCTTTATTATTGCTTTTATATCTTACGACTTGGCTGAATTTGTGTATTAGTTTCAGCAATTTTTGTTGGAGTCTTTCAGGTTTTCTAGTTGGGTTTATAAAGAAGTCAGGATTGGGTCTCTGGGGTAAAGAGTACTTTAGCTATTAAAGGGGAAGTTGTTTTTGGGAGGATTTTGAAAGCAATGAGTACAGAGGAGTGGTGTTTATACTAGAGGCAAACCAGACGGAAACAGCTATATAAATACGATGTCTTGCCTTTCTACTAGTAGCCAGTGTAATTGATTTGCTCAGAACCCTCCAAATAACTTTCTATTAGACGTAAAATAAAATCTTGACCTCTGGCCACAGGGATGGCAACACTGACTACCACTTTAATACTACCTCACGTATGCATTAGCTGTACAGGTCTGTGTGCTGTATGTTGTTCTAACATATAAAACACTTGTTCTTTCTTAATGATATATTTTGAAGGTTTATTCCCTCATTTTTCTTTCAGGTCTCCGCTTCAACCTCATATGCTCAGAGAAGGTTTACCTGACTACCAAAAATACCAACTCTTCTGTGGCTTTTTCTTCATAGCACTTAATCAATCATTGTCTCTTTTCTCTATTGAATATAAGCCTTATGAGGGAAGGGTCTTCTGTTTTGTTCACTGTTGTATCCTCAACTTCTAGAATAGTGCACAGCACATAGAAGTCACACTAAATTTGTGGAATGAATGAATCATTGAATAGTGTATACAAATATCTTACTAGAATTTGTTTATTTTTGTCTTTCAGGTTGGGAAGGTCCACCTCCACCTAGAGGCTGTGAAGTTTTTGTAGGAAAAATACCTCGTGATATGTATGAAGATGAGTTAGTTCCTGTATTTGAAAGAGCTGGAAAGATATATGAATTTCGACTTATGATGGAATTTAGTGGTGAAAATCGAGGGTATGCTTTTGTGATGTACACTACAAAAGAAGAGGCCCAATTAGCCATCAGAATTCTTAATAATTATGAGATTCGACCAGGGAAGTTTATTGGTGTGTGTGTAAGCTTGGATAATTGCAGATTATTTATTGGAGCTATTCCTAAGGAAAAGAAGAAAGAAGAAATTTTGGATGAAATGAAGAAAGTTACAGAAGGAGTTGTAGATGTCATTGTTTATCCAAGTGCAACTGATAAGAGCAAAAATCGTGGTTTTGCATTTGTTGAATATGAATCTCACAGAGCTGCTGCTATGGCTAGGAGAAAACTAATTCCAGGTAAACTTGTCCTTTTAAAGTTTATTTTTTCATATTAACCTTATTGTAAATATGGAAAAATGACAGCACCTCATAGATCAATATTTTGAAAATATATAATGCCCTTAAAGAGGTATAGAGATTTTTTGACTAAGGAAGTAAAATAAAGTGTTCTAAAAAAACAAGGAGTTGTTCTTATAAAATGAGTCATTATTTGTAATAATATACTAATTTACTGAATATATATGCTTTTATTGTGGTGGTGGTGTTTGATAAAAATCCAAAAGACAGTACCTGATTCTTCTGATAAAGGTCTTTTTTTTTTTTTTTTTTAAGCTCTAACCCATTTTTAGAGAGAGAGAGAGAGAGAGACAGCATGAACAGGGGGCGAGGGAAGGAGAGGGGCAGAGGGAGAAGGAGAAGCAGGCTCCCCACCGATGCAGGGCTCCATCCCAAAACCCTGAGAACATGACCTGTGCCAAAGGCAGATGCTTAACTGACTGAGCCACCCAGGCACCCTGATAAAAGTCTATTTTTGAAATGTATTTTGTTGACTCTTGAAATGAATTCCACTGTAAGTTCTGGCTGGGTTTGCCTTAGTATAAACTGTCATGGAAGTTTTCATGTGAGAAACTAGTGTTTAACCAAATACACTGATAGGTATTTGAGTTCTTGCTTCTTTGGAGAAAGTTTTACTTAATAGTTTTTGACTTTTAGTTGTTTTAATTGTCTTCAGGTTAATTTATTTTTTTACAGGTACATTCCAACTATGGGGCCATACCATTCAGGTAGATTGGGCTGACCCGGAGAAAGAGGTTGATGAGGAAACCATGCAGAGAGTTAAAGTTCTCTATGTAAGAAATTTAATGATCTCAACTACAGAGGAAACTATTAAAGCAGAATTCAACAAATTCAAACCTGGTGCAGTTGAACGAGTAAAGAAACTTAGAGATTATGCTTTTGTTCACTTTTTCAACCGAGAAGATGCAGTGGCTGCTATGTCTGTTATGAATGGAAAATGCATTGATGGAGCAAGTATTGAGGTAACACTGGCAAAACCAGTAAATAAAGAAAACACTTGGAGGCAGCATCTTAATGGTCAGATTAGCCCTAATTCTGAAAACCTGATTGTGTTTGCTAACAAGGAAGAGAGCCACCCAAAAACTCTAGGCAAACTGCCAACTCTTCCAGCTCGTCTCAATGGTCAGCATAGCCCAAGCCCCCCTGAAATTGAAAGATGCACTTATCCATTTTTTCCTGGAACAAAGCTTACTCCAATTAGTATGTATTCTTTAAAATCCAATCATTTCAATTCTGCGGTAATGCATTTGGATTATTACTGCAACAAAAATAATTGGGCACCACCAGAATATTATTTATATTCAACAACAAGTCAAGATGGGAAAGTACTCTTGGTATATAAAATTGTTATTCCTGCTATTGCAAATGGATCCCAGAGTTACTTTATGCCAGACAAACTGTGTACTACATTAGAAGATGCAAAGGAACTGGCAGCCCAGTTTACATTACTTCATTTGGGTAAGTTTAAAAATACTTTAAATAATTATTGTAGAATATGAAACTAGGAAGTACAATTATTATAAATTACTTTGAATTCGTGGTATTTAACATAAATTTTACCTCAATTTTATGAATTCATGGAAAGTTTTGTTGAGACTTTTCTCTTGTATAATCTTCCTGTATTTAGCTTTTTAAACATTACTTAGGGGAAAATTTGGTTTTGATTTACTCTTACAGAGTACATGATCTTATTTCATTAATTTATTGTTTTTGTAATGACTAATCCTCATTTAATAATTTCTATGTAAGTTATAGGATGTTACCTAAACCAATTTGTAACAGCGTCCCTGCATCTTTGGTGAAGTCTACACAGTAATCATTTTGGGGGACAGCAGTAGGGAGTTGGTAAAATCAGAGGTATTTCAGATGGGTTATGTGTAGACACAGCCTTATGCTCACCAATCTGGAAATTTGTCATTATTACTCATAAAAGACAAAAAGCATCACTAAGAGATGTTTATGACCATTGTTTTCTTTAATTTCATGCTTTTAAAAAAGTAAGTTTCTCTAATGCTTTTGAGGGATAGTTAAAAAGGCTTTGGTAACAAAATAGTTTGCATTGTGAAGGAAAAGATGCAATATCACTCTGATATTTCTTTTGTTTTTTATTATGTTAGCCTCCCCCCACCACCACTTTTTCCCAGTTTTTTAATGCAGCTATAAATGGCAGTTGGTGATTATTTTGTGCCCCAAATGATAGTTATTAGAAGAATAGTGGTTTCTTGAAAATAACAATAAAAAGGAAGAGTCCCCAAGAAGGATCATAATTGTTTCTTAATTATAATTGTCAAACTCTTAGCTTAACATTGATTTGTTATATGGTTGCAGAACCATACTACTGAAGCTTATGTCTATTTAAAATTGATACTCTCAAATTTGTTAAAAAGAAAGCAGTCTAAAAGGAAGACCATTGTCAAGGGGAGAGGGAATTTTATACATTGTATAGATGTATTTTATACAGTGCTTACCCATCATAACCACTCCCACAGTATGCATATTTTTAGGAGATTCTGATCATTAGAATTTTAGGCCTGAAGGTAGGATTTCTTTCAAAAAAACTTTTTGGTAGTATCTTCAATTATTAGTTGGAAACATTTGGGAATTTTACAGTCATTGAAATTAATAAATTCTTAAGTGTGATTTTCATTAATGCACAAAAGAGAAGCCTTCCATTTTTTCTTTAAATAAAGACAATTAAGTTAAAGAAAAATTGCAATAACAGTGAATAATTCAAATTAGGGCTCTTAGAAAAAATGGATCAAATTATTTTTTTGGAGTGGAATACAGGTAATTAGTTGCTAAGCAAGATTTTCTCAAGATACTTGTATCTGATCTAACATAGTAATGCTGAAACATATTTCTACTCAGTTTCCTTACAAATTTAACTGGGCTTAAATTTCCAAGCTTCTTAAAATACAGTCTTAGTTTATGTCAGATTTTCTATTTAGATGTGATATGCCCATCTGGCCCATAAAGAAGATCAGATGTTATATGGAACCAGAGGTTTTTCATCAGCTTTTAATTCTATTATTAAGATGGTTTTTACTTGAGTCCTAGGACCATAGTTAATTTGTATTGACCTTATAGTTCCCCAAGAGAACCCTTGTTCAGGTATAGTATTCCCAACTTGATTTTGTTATTTAGGGATGAAATTAGCTTCAATAAATGAAATACTTAGAGGGCACAGTTTGCTTTAGTCATCTATTTCAGATTTTATCAACCTTTATAAAAGCGCCTTATAATAAAACAATGGACAATTTGTGTTTCATATATTTTCTCAGTTTCTAATTACCATCAGGGAGAATACCTAAGATCCAAATATAAGCCAAAAATTTTAATTAAACACTAGGGCTTGTTTGGATGCACTACAGGAGGCTTGAGGCCTTGTCTACAGGAAGTAACATAAAAATCCTTACTGCAATTGACTAGAAATGTCAGTGAAGGTTGAGTAGAGGCAGCTGAGGAGAAGGAGGGATAGATTTTAAGGAAGTATAAGAATCAGAAATCGGGGGTCTAGAAATCTTTGATCATAAAACAAATGCCTGACCTTTGGGGGTTATTAAAGTATGGCAGGAACTATAGATGGCCAGGAGGTTACATGTTGCTATATGGGAGATTAAGATATATATATAGATTGAATATTGTTGTGGCAGTATTCTGGTTTGCTTTTTACTTCTGTTAATATTGGAGTCTCTGGGCTTTAAAAAGTTGATGCCTTTTTAGGTGCAGATCTAAAGGTTGCAAGGTTTTATTCGGTGGGTTAAGGATTGAGATCAGTTGGTGGTAGTGGTGTGTTCTTAGAGGGGAAAGAGTGGTGTACTCTCAAAACTTCTATCCTGCTAAATATTTACATGCTGCAAGCATTGGATTTTTCTGAGATCTTGAGAGGTTGTTATTGGTTCCTGGAGTCTCTCAAATAGAGTTCATTAAATATTAAATCATCTTTTGTCTCTGTTTTCTAAAGATTTTGAATGTACCTCTCTAGATAGTGAATTTAACTATGATTTTAAAATGTTTTCTTTGGGTGTAGTAATTTTTTTCTTTTTTAAGTTTGTTTTGATACTCTTCTGTTAACCCTTTCAGTTTGATGCTATTTTGAGCATTATTATCCAGTCTTACCTTGATGATCTTTAACTATTATATGTGATATAGTCATTTACCTTTTTATTTCAGAGTCCTTTAAGAATGTACTTTTAATATCCACATTGTTTTGGTGTTACCATGCCCATTTTTCGAGTTTAAAAAATAAAAGAGAAAAAGTTAGACTTTAGTTAAAGGATTATCATTGGTGTTATGAGGAAAACAAAACGAGTACTAGAGATCAGAGAATTTTACTTCTAGTGACCATTTAATGCTCTTAGCAGAACCCCAAAAGTTCTTGGTGGGTATTACTTTAAAATCAATTTTTAAAAAATTTGGGTTTTTTGGTCCCATTTAAAGTGAACTCTGTTTTAAGCAAAATATCCCTAATAGAAGAAGCTAAAAGTTGGGATTAATGCCAAAATTGAACCCTCTTTTTTTTTTTTTTTTTTTTGCTTCAACGTTGGAGACTGTCTTCATCTTCGTAATGTCTGAGAATGATCTCCCTAACCTCACTGGAAACTGATCACCCAGCCAACGGGATAAGAAATGTCACCTGTTTCTATTTAGGCACCTATAATATGTGGGATACTTAGTGGGTTTAATACGTAGAATACATACTTGTGGGTTAAGAGATAGATAGGTTCTATGCTAAGTATTTGATGTATGGAGATATTGTGGGTCATTCAGTATCATATATCTTTAAGTATTTTCTATTTCATAATTTTGTATTTGTTTAATAATGGATCAGACTATCAGTGTGAATAATCTTGCTTTTCCTAAAATTTGCCTCTGTTTTGAATATGGGCCTTCCAATTTTGCCACTGCTTTCCCATGGAGGGTTCTTCACCACGTAGGAGTGGGATAAGCAAAATCAAGGAGATAAAGGAAGGTCCTGGAGAATTATAGTTTTGAAGAAAGAAAGTCCTGGAGAATACTTACTGGAAGGAGGGAGGTAGCCTCAAGTGTGTATTGACAGTTCACCTTGTTATATAATTTGTTAATAACTAATTGAAGGCAAGGCATTTCTTTTCTTATTTCTATGTTTGTGTAATACTGACACAAGTGGCAGTTTTTTGCTTGTATGAACCACACAAAGCTTTCAAACAGAAGTAAAGAACCTCTGTCACAGACCAACTTGTGCCATTGATTTAATTTCATCTGACTTGTATTCTGTTGTTTTGGCTATGACTGATGAAGTTTGTTAAAGAACGGATTTTCTTGAATGCCCCTCGTGCTGAGTATACTTTTGTAGCATTCAGGAGTTAAATATAAATAAAACTTTGTTTTTGGTCTTAAGGAGTCATGATCTACTGAAGAAGGCAGAGACAAACTTCAGAAGTTTTGAGAGTACAAAGAAAGGGCACACCTCGGGCGCCTGGGTGGCTCAGTTGGTTGGGCGACTGCCTTCGGCTCAGGTCATGATCCTGGAGTCCCGGGATCGAGTCCCACATCGGGCTCCCTGCTCAGCGGGGAGTCTGCTTCTCCCTCTGATCTTCCCCTCTCTCATGTGCTCTCTCTCTCTCTCTCTCAAATAAATAAATAAAATCTTTAAAAAAAAAAAAAAGGGCACACCTCCCACCTGATTTGAGTTGTAAATCTTGAGGAGAGTTTATGGGCAGAGAGGCACAATGTGAGCAAATACTTGCTAGAAAAATAGCATGTTGGGGGGTTAATGGCAAACAGTTGTGTATAGTGTTTGCTTTGGTGATTTCAGTCAGATTTTAAGGATTAGAAATTGAAGCGATGTGGACATTAGTTAATTGAAATTTCATCAGTTTTGCTTTTTAAAACTTTGCAAGTTTTGTTTTTTTTTTAGTACAACTATGTTGGCTTTAGTTGCTTTTCTTCTGAGCATGTGATTTTTTTCTGGATGAATCCATCCTAATTTGTGTGGACTATTTTATGTGTCATCTTTCTACTAGCTCATGTAATTGAAAAGTATTCATTTTGTGGCTGACTTGCATATTGCTTCTCATATTTGACTTTGTAATGACATACTCATTAGAATTTTTAATATTTTCTGGTCATAGAGTGGTAAAATATTTAGATATATATTCTAAGCATGATAGCCATATCTTTACTATTGCTTTAATATCATTAAAATTAGGTTCTGATTTTTCTACCACTTGTAATTTGGTTGAAAGTTATAAAATAGAAGACACAATAGGATGAAAGTAAAACTTCTGAGAAGTTTGAATCTGAAAAATAATTGGTGCTTTTTTTCTTACGAGCTATCATTATTTCCAGATTGATGGGCAGAAATGCAAAAATAAAATTCTGATTTAAAAAATTTGCTAACAAATTGCTTTGAAACAGAGAAACTTTTTTTTTTTAATTTAGGAAATAATTTTGGGAGACAAGCTAAATATAAATGG